ATACACCAAAATAAATTCAAGGTGGATAAAAGACTTAAATATAAGCCGAGACACCATTAAAGTTCTAGAGGAGAACATCTGCAAGAAAATCTCAGATATTTCACGCAGCAACATTTTTACCGATATGTCCCCTAGAGCAAGGAATATAAAGGAAAGAATAAACAAATGGGATCTCATCAAAATAAAAAGCTTCTGCATGGCGAAAGAAAACAGTATTAAATTAAAGACAACCAACTGTATGGGAACACATATTTGCCAATGATACCTCATACAAAGGTTTAATCTCCAAAATATACAAAGAACTTACAAGACTCCACTCTAAGAAAACATCTAATCCAATTAAATAATGGGAAAAGGACTTGAACAGACACTTCTCCAAGGAGGACATACAGAATACCCAGAGACACATGAAGAGATGCTCAATATTGTTAGCTATCATAGAGATGCAAATTAAAACCACAATGAGATACCACTTTACACCAGTCAGGATGGCTATCATAAACAAAGCAACAAACAACAAATGTTGGAGAGGGTGTGGGGAAAAGGGGTCCTTAGTTCACTGTTGGTGGGATTGCAGACTGGTACAACCATTATGGAAAACAGTATGGAATTTTCTCAGAAAAATAGAAATCGACCTGCCTTTTGACCCAGCAATTCCGCTGCTAGGATTATATCCTAAGAATCCTAAAACATCAATTTCAAAGAACCTATGCACCACAATGTTCATAGCAGCACAATTTACAATAGCCAAGAACTGGAAGCAACCTAGGTGCCCGTCAGTAAATGAATGGATCAAAAAAGTGTGGTACATATACACAATGAAATTCTATGCAGCAGAGAGAAAGAAGGAGCTACTACCCTTTTCAACAACATGGATAGAACTGGAAAGCATTATGCTGAGTGAAATAGGCCAGGTGTTGAAAGACAAATACCATATGATCTCACCTTTAACAGGAAGCTAAACAATAAAACAAAGCAAGCAGAAAAAAAACAAAGACACTGAAATAGAGAACAAGGGGACAGTGACCAGAGGGGAGAGGGAAGGGAATTTAAGGGGAAAAAGGGGGAGGGATTTGGAGGAACAAATAGGAAGGACACAGGGATGAGAACTAAGGGGGGTGGAAATGGGAGGGAGGTGGGGAGCATGGGGCGGGGGAGGCTGGGATGGGAGAAATAGACAAAAAACTGTACTTGAAAAATAACTAAATAAAAAAAAAGAAAAGAAAACCATGTAGGCCTTATTCTCACACAGAGGTTTCAAATACCCACTGAATCAGTCTTTTTCCATTTGGTCTTGAGTTATCTACCTGCTGATAATTTTTCCTGCCAAAACCTCTTGTTCTGCAATGTAGATGCCTTCCATCACCTCTATGGCACTCAGGAGTTTTATGTGTTTTTAGTCCTTCCCAGGAAGGGGTTTTGAAGCCACAAATCATCAGTATCAAATTTGAAAAGTAGATTTGCAAATTGACCCTTTTGTAGTTTAAATGCCCAAAATGTGAGTCACATAAAGAAAAAATAACAGTGGTGATGATATTGATGGTGATAATAACGATGAAATATGGAGGAGGTAGGGGAAGACTGGCTTAAGAACAAGTCTTAGCAATGGAAAAGCTTAAAGAAAATATAATTATGGGTTTGAATTTGTTGTTTTTCTCGAAGAAAGAAAACCAAAAATAGAGAAGTCTGATAAATACTGAAAAATAAAGAGATGAGAAATAGGAGGTTATAATCATGAGTCTGATGCGTGAAAGGATTTTGGCAGTATGAACAAAAGGGGGCAGACACAAGAATCTTTTAAGAAGCAAAGGCAACAAGACTTGGAGTCTGATGAGTTGTGAGCAGCATGGGAAAAGTGGTGACTCAGTGACGATAAAGTTGAAATGGAAGGCCCTGGAGAATGGTGGCGACATTTTTTATTTCAAAAAAAAATTGAAAACTGTACTGATGAAGAAGGTGGTAACTCCAGGACTTTTCTGTAGGTCAGCAGAGAAATGGAAACTCCTTTTAAAATAAAACAGAATTTCCATTTTCTTCAGGTATTCAAATGTAAACAAATTACTTCATCTTAGAGGCTGAGATCTCTGATACCTGAGAAGGGACTGCTTTATTTTTCAAGATAGCACAACACGGGGACACAGTCTCTCAAGCCAGAATGGGTGTGGCCCTTAATTGCATTTGACCTTTCAGTTTTTAAGTTTGTAGCCTTGGTTTATGAATGCAGAGGGATCATAATGGAGTTGGCGAGGTAATGGTATGATTGGTATCTTGGTTCTTTGTATTCACATAAACATACCTATAATTATATTGTAGACAAGTAGTGTTATAAGCAATAGTGAACATGCACTTGGATATTCTCCTATTCAGATTACAAACTCCCCATGGTGTTCACTGTAACAAGTTTCCCCTAAAAGTACATGTTCTTGGGGCGGGGAAGGTGTGAGGGGGGGTGGTGTTTGCTGCCATCATCTACCTGGCACCTTCAGTCCCAGCTCCAGTGACCTTTTCTCTTGCATCTTCTGGATTTCTCACACACCTTCTCCCTGTCTGGGCCTTTCTCTGCTCCTAGACTTCATGTGGAGGAGAGAAGATGCCATTATTTACGTGGTTGGCAAGAGAAAAATAGCAATTCTTATCAGTAATGAAAAACTACCCAGATGGAGGAGTTGTGAACATTCCATTACTTTGCTCAGAGTCATAAAAGGCTGAGGAGCTGGGGCTGAGCGTTATGTTTTTAAACTGTAAATGTGACCTGCTGTAGCTTGTTTGGAGTTCGTTACTAAGGGATTATGGCTCCAATTTCAGGATCCCAGCAGAAAGCCTCAGGAGCCAGAAGAGTGTGTCGTATAGATTCTACACTGCTCCTGAAAAGGGACTTCTCATGCTAGGCATTCTGATTCCTTTTTTTCCAACATAAAAGCAATATCCATTTCAGCTTTAATTCTCTTTCAAGTCTACCATGGACATTCAAAATCTTCTAAATATTAAGACAGCCTCAAAACCTTATCCTTGGAAAGGCTAGAGCCTCAGAAGATGTGGGAATTTCTTGGTCAAAACTGTCCCAAGAGTCATTGTTTCATGGGTACCAACCTTTATTTTGGGATGAGGGGAAAGCTCTGGAGATGGTAGTGGCAATGGTTGCACAGCGGTGTGCGTATACTTAATGCCACCGAACTGTCCACTTAAAACTAGTTAAAATGGTACATTTTCTGTTACATATATTTTACCAAAGTTTAAAAAAAAGTCAGGCTAATGATTGACTGAAGAAAAAAGTACGGCAGTGTATTTGGAAGGGTCTGGTATTGTTCTATTTTTACTCTAGTGATTACATGTCTGCTTAGTAATTATTATACTCACCTTTGTTTTATATTTCAGGGTATAACTCTATTTCCCAATAAAAAGATCAATCTAAAAGTGAAAAACAAAACTATCCCAAGTGGTAAGAATTATGAGGCCTTGGGAAATCCCTTTCCTTGCTCTGGGCCACATTTTTTATGTTTAACATGAGATGTTAGACTATGAGATCTTGGAAGCCTTCCTATTGCCAACATCCTGTAATCACACACAATACCTACTTGCGAATGAAACAACTACAAAGAGCAAAAATCCCAGGCTTATTCTTTATTTTGGATTGTGTTTTTCTTCACAGAAATTGAAAAATCAAATGGAAAAAACCCTCAGGGCAATAAAACTCACTGATCAATGTTAAGAAATACAGGTTGTGTGAAACGTGGCCCAGGAGACGCTGGCTGCTCTAAGTTACGGACGTGCAAAGAAAGGAGTGCTCATCACTGAACCCTGGGTGGCAGGGAGAAGAAAAGTCACAAGATGTCAGGTGGGATAGAGAAGGGAGAGGCAGGCGCGTGGGAGCTGGAGAGATAGGACAGGGCCCTCACATCTGGAGGAGGAAGGGGCAGCACCCACAGTCTCCCTGTCTCTGTCAAAGGCAGTTTCTCCAGTGCCAGCCCTGCTTCCACACAAAACCAAGTTCTCCCCCATCCAGACCCACCCCAAAAGGCTCGATGGGCAACTACACATAACTCATGCCTTCCTTCCTTATGATGTTCCCACTTCCTGATATGCTCTCCATCCTTTGAGGTCCACCTGAAGTCTTCACTCTCCTTGAGGCTTTAGTGTGTCACCCTGTCCCTGTCCCTTGGGTATCCATGACATACTGTCTCCTGACCCTCCTCTTTCTTCTCTGTCCCCTTCTCTTTACTTTTTCCCTAACTCCATTTTTTCTCCCACGTCCGAATGTCCTAGAGCACCTAATATTCCAAAAGCTTGTTCAGAATACACCGTATATTATCCAAGAGTTTTCGCTAACAAAAGAGTTGGTAAACTGTGGTTTGTAGCCCAGTGACAGCTTTTATACATCAAGTTTTAATGGAACTCAGCCACGCTCATTCACTTACTCATTATCTGTGGCTGTGTGTGTGCTCCCGCAGTAGGGTTGCCACACCAACCGTGTGACCCACAGAGCCTGAAATACTCCTATCTGGGTCTTTGGATAAAAATTGTCATCCTTTGCTCTGGTGAACTAATCTGTTAATATTTCCTTTGCATAATTACATTTATTAAGTTTGTGTTTTATTTCTCCCACTGAGGACCCAGTACAGGCTAATATGCTTTTGGGTTCATTCAGAGCCCATCTTACTGCCTTGTACCTTGTTAGAGTCACAGTAAATAATAATTAATTAATTAATGATTCATGATTTCTTGAGATTGTGAAACTACTCACGTTTTTGTTGTTGTTGATATACAATTGCCTGAGATAGAGAAATACTTTCTCCCAGAATCCCACTCAAGGCCTGGCATGGTGGCGTGGCCTGGAATCAGGGGTCGCAGAGCCAGGGGTCTGCATCCTGCTCTGCCTCTTGCCAGCTGTGTGACCTTAACCAAGTTCTTAAAGTCCTCTAGGATTCACCTCTTCATCTGTCAAATCGTGATGACATAGTAATTAATTAATCACTGGATCATTGTGAGGATTTTATTCAATAAAATTAAATAATGCATTTAAAGTACTAGGTATAGTTTCTAGAACATACTAAAGAATCTAAAAATGGTTGGTGATTGTTATTGTCCTATGGTGATGGTATCTCATTCCCTTTTAGCCCCCTTTCTCTGCCTAATCAACATTCTATTCAAGTGAATGTGTTTTCTCTATATTTTTTTGTGTTTTGAATTCTAAGGTTATAAAGTTGGGATTCTCTGACAGTGCAGGGAGGGTGGCCATGGATAGATGGGTTCCTATTGACTTGCCTTGTCTTAGCTCTCACAGAAAACCAATAACCATTTTTACTTAATCAGTTCAAACACTCCACAAATTCAATGAGTGGCTTTGAAAATTGGTAGCCTACTAGAGGGGTGAATGAGGCATGGTCGCTTAGAGGATGAATAGCATATTATGTGTTCAATTCCCTATGAAAAGTAAAGGTGCAACAAAGTTAAAATAAACATCAAGGGCAAAGCTGAAGGGAAATGAAGGCCCCAAAAGCCAAGGAAATGGAAAAAGAGAATGGTGTGGTATTTTAATTCAGTGATAGCATTATATAACAAGTCAGTCACTCCCACACTTAATAGTAATCTACCAAGCACCTTCTATTGTGCCAGGCCTTTTTTGGATGCTGGTCAATAAAAATAATCAGATTAAAATCCCTGCCTTTGTGGACTGCATTCTAGTGAAGAGAAAATACACATATGGATGGAGGATTGATAGATAGATAGATAGATAGATAGATAGATAGATAGATAGATAGATAGATAGACTTTATATTTGAAGGTGATAGCTGCTGCTATGGAGGAAAAAAAGTAGAATAGTAGAAGAAGGATTGGAATGAGAAAAAAAAGAGATGTGGTTTGCATTTTAAATAGGTTGGTCAGATGACCTTTGAATAAAACTGTGAGAGATCTCAAAGAGTAAACTGCAGGAACATCTGGAGGGAAAAAATTACAAGCAGAGGGAACATACAGAAGTGTGTCTGGCTTGGGCAAGGGACAATAAGGAGGCCAAAAAAAATAATAGGAGTAAATTAGTTAGCTTCTGTCAAGCTCTTACTATCCTCTGAACATTCTTCTAAGCTTTATTACATATAATCTTCAAAACAGTGACATAATATAAGCAAAGTTATTCTCTCCATTTTATTTTTTAATTAAATTTATTGGGATGACATTGGTTAATAGGATTATATGAGTTTCAAGTGTACAATTCTACAATACATCTGTATTATATTTTGGGTGTGCTCACCACCCACAGTCAAAGCTTCTTCTGTCACCATGTATTTGATGCCCTTTACCTCTGGTAACCACAATACTGTGTCTGTGGGTTTTTGTTTCCTGTTTGTTCACTTGTTGCTTTCAGTTTTAAATCTTACAAATGAATGAAATCACATGATTCTTAACTTTTTCTCTTTGACTTATCTCGCTTAGCATTCTTGACATTCTCAAGATCCATTCTTATTGTCTCAAATGGCAATATTTCGTGTTTTCTTATGGCTGACTAATATTCGAGTGTAGCCATGTACCACATCTTCCTTATCCAATCCTCTGTCAAAGGACACTGGTTTTTCCATATCTTGGCCACTGTGAATAATGCTGCAATGGAGAACATATATCTTTGCAAATAAATGTTTTCAAAATTTTCAGGTAGATACCCAGACAAGGGGTTGCTGGATCATATAGTTCTCTACATTTTATGGACAAGTAAAGCAAAATACTTGAAAAGTTGAATAACTTGCCGAAAACTACACAACTGGCAACTGCCAGGGTCACACATGTGTGATTCCACTGCGCACACTCTTTGCCACTACACCTTTTTCTACTTCACCTTTGTCAGTCCAGGAGGCGAAGACTGGATGAGCTCTATCCCTGCCTGCTAAACTGCACAATGCTTCATCGTGACCTCTTTCCCTGTCACCTTGTCCTTTAGACGCATTAACTCGAATAACGCAGAGTTTAAAGCGGAGGTTTTCCATAGCCCCTCAACCGCTTTATGACTTTTCTGAGTTCTCTCCTGATCTTTCCCATTCTGATCTTCCATAAATTTGCCAGCTGGGCCTTTGAGTACAACCCAGGTCAGCCTCCAGGGCAGCTCTGCACACCAGTGAGCACCGCATCCTTCCTACCGTCTTCCTCCTGAGATCAACTGATGTACAGTGGAACCTCTTCAAAATGATTTTTACTTTGCGAATATAGGATTGTGGACAATCAATCGTACCTAGAAACATTTTTACAAGTTATTTTGGTATATCCTTCTTCTTGCCTTTAAAAAAATAATGTTTGGGAGATTTATCTCAGCCTTTAACAGTATTATTACTTTAAAAATTCCTGAATTCTCAACCTGTCTACCACCTTCTTAATGAAATATAGGCTATATCAACACAATAACAAGGTCAAGAAATAGTACTGAAATTTGTTAAAAGTCTGTTCTCTGTCCACTGATGAATGTTTTGTCACCACAGTTTTTTGAGCATTATCCTTGTCCAAATTAAGTTATTTTCTTCTCTCTTCAAAGAACACAAGAGAGTTGAACTATTTCTCTTCCTTCTTTGATAAATATATAAAATATTTTCTCCTGGTAGAAGTTGTGTCAAATATCAAGCCAGGATTAGAAAGATAGAATGTTCACTCCTCTGTCAGGTTATATAATTCCTGAGCCAGAAAGACAATAAACACGACAAGGAAGAAACTGACCTTTTTGCAATAGCTTCTGAACTGAAATGGAGAATAGAAAACTTGGATATTTCCTCCATTATGAATATCTGCAGTTAATAGTTGCTTGGGTATTAGTATTCCTGAAGTAGGCACTGAAATACCTGTGGGTAAAAGATGTTATGAGCTTCATGAGTATTATTTTTGAAGGAAATTCTAGTTTTAAAAAATGAAAAGACTTAACTAGGTTGACCAAATGTTTTAGACCGATGGCATGAATTTCAGTGACAGAAAGCCAGTCTATGATAATGACCTGCTTCAGAAGCTAAAGGCACTTACTTGTTTATTCATGTGGTAAAATCTTTTAGGGAATACCCAAGCCCCTCTTAACATATTTCTTTTTAAATATGTTTTATTAAAAATTTTTTCAGTTATGCCTTACACTCAGTATTATTTTGCATTAGTTTCAGGTGTAGAGTGGGCATCTTATCAGATTTCAGGTGGAGGCCAGTGGTCCTTAGATCCTGACAAATAAGATGCCCGTGGACATGGTCTGGCTGAACTCCACAGGGGAAAGCACTCCAAGTTCCTTTGTCTTCCCAAAGTGATTAAATGAGTGTATCCCTGAACAAATAGGACTTTACACAATTTCTTTTGCTTTATGCCTTCACGGAAATTTTCAAATGGAATTAGAGAGGACACTTTAATGAATCCTCAGGGCCCATCACCCAGCTTCAACCACTATTAAAACCTGGACAATCTTGTCTCATTCACATCTTATTCCTTTAATGCTCTTCCATACACCTGGGAAGTGCATTCAGAACAGCATATCATTTCATCTACAAATACACAATTTCTTCTGAAACTTAAAGGAATGACACATGAAACATGCAAGAATTTGACGTTAGAAAAAAGTGCTGGAGATCTGTTCCATGTGTAAATGTACTTCCTTGGCCCACCTTAGTTTCCGATGTTAGCCCAGAAAAGATTAGAGCACAGTTTCAACCAAGCCTAGTAGCCAGTTCATCTCAGAAAATGTCAGGGACCTGGAACTCCGCTGTAATATGTAGTACACATGCACAATTATTTTTGTCTGCCCATCATCTGAGTACTTTTTTCTGCATTTGGAGACTTCTGCGCCTGGGGCTTCATGGGAATCAGAGTCTATTTCCCTTCGTAAGCAATGAAAATGCAAGAGACTCACTTCTCAGCTGCCTTGTATCTAGGGCCGAGGCCACAACTGAGGCCTGGCCAGGAGACACACGTGTGAAGAGGGTACTGGGTGGACCCAAAGTAGCAACAGAATTCATAAGTAAGGGGGTTGTAACAAACAGCATACAGAACATAGTAAATAATACCGTAATAACTTAGTATGGTCACAGACGGTAACTAGACTTACCAGGGTGATCACTTCATAATGTATATAAATATCAAATCACTATGTTGTATGTTAATTATATTAAATTAAAAAGGATTTATATATTGTTTCCCCTAGAACAGGGATGTCAAACTCATTTTCACCAGGGGCCACATCAGCCTCACGGTTGCCTTCAAAGAGCCAGTGCAGTTTTAGGGCTGTATAAATGGAACGACTCCTGAACAGTTAAGTGAGAGCACGGTGCTGCCTCCAGATAGAAACAAAGTGGAGGCGCAGGCCTTGTGTTTGCCACCAGTGCCCTAGAAGCTCTCGTTCTTATCAATTTAATTAGCTTATTATAGTGTAATTATAAAATTTCTACAAAGCCTCAACTAGAGTGCAACACTTAAACCAAATAGAATAAATTATTAGTGTTTGGTTTTTGTCACTTTACATTAAAGATATATGCCTTTTGATGCCTTTAAAACTTGACCCAAATAGTAGATAATAATAGAATAATTTCTTATTCAGGTGTGCTTTGTGTTTGAATTCATGATCAAGTATTTCTGTTTAACTACCTGTGAAGGTTAATGTCAGGAAAGAAGTATTTCTCCCACTGTAAAAGGTTTCTCAGGTTTTTTGTTATATCAAATAACTTCAAGTCTATAATTCCTGATTTAAAGAATTCCTGATGGAAAAAACACTCACTGGTGATAGCCTGCACTGAGATGCTTTCTTCAAGGACAAATGTGATCAACAGACCTAGAAAATAACCTAGCCAGAAAAGAAAATAAAAGACAGCATAGTCTTTGTCAACCCCCTTAAGAGCAAAGGACAGGGCAATTACTTCTATTCTTTTACTAGCCCAACATGAATTCGTGCTCATTGGAGGGTTGAGTGCACAATGCCTCACAGGTGCCCTTTTGTAAAGAGGGAATATTAATTAAGCCCTTGTACAATATCCAGTCACCAATTTAGCTGCACTAGTTCCTGTCTCAGAGTCTGTATGTGTTGCTCTTTTTCCTGCTCAGCCAGCCTCCCTTGCTTGGCAGTGTTTTGCATTTGCCTTCGCTTTGTGTGTTTGTAACCCTTTCTCTGGCGTGGATTATTCTCCAGCCTTCACAGAACCTCAGCAGCACAGTGAGAATTATTTTGACCCCATTGAAATTCGGTTACAAAATTTTCTCTCCACCGCCCGCTATTTTTGTGTCGATCCCAATGATATCTTGCCAATATTTTTGTTTCCTGGGGAACTTTATGAAGACTTCTTTTTTCTGAACTACATATTCTTGGCAGAAATAATTATTATATTAATCAATTGCATCTGTTTTCATAGGAAAAAAGTATAAGGCATGGTTTAATCCAGAGGAAAGAAGGTAATTATTCGAACATTTTCTAATTAGAACATTTTACTCCCCAGGGTAGAATGGTAAGAGGTCAGGTATATAAAGAGGTATAATTCCTCCAAGGTTATCTCTTCACAGAGTAGGCCATCTCTGTGTGCTCTGGACAACTGAGCAACTGGAATGATTTCAGGCTCTGAAGAGCTACTTGGCCCCCGAATAGTTCTCTGACCATTGTTCAGAAGAACCACCCTTTAAGGATTTCCTGATAAAGACATTGTTTAAGGATTCATAGCTTACCTATTGGGACTAATTAACCTATTATTATTCATATTACCTCTTAGAAAGCAGATGGCTAAATGAATGGGAACTCAGGACAGGTTATTTTTTGAAGGCAAAGACCAACTGGGAGAAATGGTAGAGAAAAATCCAAAAATATCCTGGAGGGCAGGCAGCATAGAGCAAGCAGCCATTTGAAGGTTCGAAAGAAGTAGAAAAGTTTGAGAAACAGTTTCTCAGTTTTCCATATAGATATATTTACTTATCACTATTTTACCAATACAAGGTTCTTACTGTCTATTTGCTTATGATACAATTAAATCTTTTGGTGTCAGCTATAGTCGTTTTACATTTTTATTTTAGTGACCAAAATCCTTCTAAATAAAAGTTGCAGGTATTCCCAGTGTGAAACCCAATGAAAAGAGAGCTTTGCGATTGGAAAGGGTTGGAATAGCCGAGGACCACTTTCCCCACAGCACCTGCCTTCTCCTTTGTTCTCCCCACGCGCCCCTGCCAGCCGTCCTTGGCAGATCTCTGATTAAAGGCTGTTGGATTAATCATCTTCCTTTGAAATGAGAGGTATTTATTCAATAGATTCATGATTGAAAGTCCCATTTAGGGAAGAAAAATCACTCTTCGTTAAAGTTGGCAAATTTGAGAAATTGCTGATACCCCCCAAATTCATTAATTCATTCACTCATTTTTTTCTAATAAATATTATTGATAAACACCAAACCTACTATGTGCCAGATACTGTGATAAGTTCTAGATGTATAAGTGGCCAATATAGGCATGCTCCGTGCCTCCTGGAACTTACCTTCCAACTAAGAGTCTGCTATGAGCTACCCATGCATTCTTTGAACCAATCATTTATCCAAGATGTTCACTGTGTATCTAATCACACTTTGCTCAAGGCATATTTTTCCACAGATAATGTTCTTAGATGTGATTTATAACAACATGCTCATGCTATATAAAGTTCCAAAGATGACCTAGGTAGGGCTAATACAGCAATGGAGAACGATGGAACAAAGTGAGGAATTAGTGGTGTGGGCCAGACTATTGGGTCTGGTTCTGGGGAAAGTTAGTCCTCAAAGAAAAAAAGGCAACTCATTATGTCAGATTAAGGAGGGACAAAGAGCACCAAGACTCAGGAGCAGAGACCACAGCAGGCAGTTCTCAAGGAGCAAAAAACATTCTTACATGTGTCAGGTAAGTCCCTACCTGCTACTGGCTATATCTTTGAAACGCCCCCCTGTATACGCCAGTTAACTTCTGGGTATCTCTCTTCCTGCCAAGGAGAAAGCCCACGAGGCAGGATGGAGAGGTGTGGTGTGAATGTGAGAAGTCACAGTAAGGTGGGGAAGGGGGGTTATCCAATCACGATCACAGTTACGGAGTTGGAAGTGGTGGGTGTGTCTGGAGTAGAGAGAAAGTCTGGGGCGTCACCTATAAGGGGGGGGTGCTGTAGTGTGTGGGTCACAATGAGACTTCAAAGGAAGTGCATCAAGGGGAAAACAGCAGGGCAAGGACAGGCTGTGCTAATGCTCATGGACATCAGGATGGGAAAAGGAAATTGTTGAAGAGACAGAAATAATCAGTGTCACCGTTAACAAAGGAAATGTACTCACAGGCACAGTGGGGATAGTTCTTTATTTAAGAACTTGGAAGTTCACTATGAATCATGTAAGTTTTTGTTTTCAGAAATGCCAGTAATTCATTTGCTATAGACCAAATACTTTGCTAGAAAATGGGTCTGTAAAAATATGTAATGCTAAAAGACACCTTTCACTGATGAGGAACAAGAGAGAAACGGTGTACTGGCCACAAACAGAATTCTTAACTTGTTCCTTTGGCCAGATACTTGCCATATTTACACTCGCCCTTTCACCCTTTTTTTATTCTTCAACCTACTTAAAACATCATGTCTTTTTTCTGACTTATCTGCGCATTTGTAAACCAAAAGCCATAGTTATTCTATTGTCTGCACTGCAGTGTCATTTTTTCTTTGGGGGGGAAAATCAACTCTTCCTGAATCCTTAATTTGGCTTTAATTGATCAACCTGTAAAGGTATTTGTAGCTCACTCTTAGAAACACTGTCCACAGTGACTTGTTTATATCACAGAACAAAACCTCTGCATCTTTCAACTTCTCTTTCCCCTCTGCTTCTTTCAGGCCCAGGCGCTTACGAAGGCCCTTAGAAAAGCAGGCCTAGCTCTCAGGTGAATCTCAAATCATGCAAAAGTAATCTTATTACTTGATGACATAATGAGAATCTGTTTCTTTGGCTGTGTTATAATGAAATTTCACCATTGGCTTCCTTCACAGTGCCCTCCGAATCTCAATGCCGTATTGCTCTTTGAGGGAGAGCGAGGAGGTAATTCCGAATCCTAGTCAGCTCAGAGGCACAGAGTGGGGCCGCAAACTCAAGTCCTAGAACCTATCAACTTATAAAATGGAAGTCTATGACATATAGAGAAAGGAATGATAGTAAAGCTAGAGACCAACTATTCTAGAAAATACAGCTGGAAGGAAGTCTTAAAAATTACTTAGTGCTTTATATGTGTCTATACCTACTTATATCTATTCAACTTATATTTATTGACTATAAAGATAAATAAGCTTCATAGACTATAAGTAATAGATCAAACAAACATGTCCTTTTTCACAGAGAAAAGTAAACAGGACATCATTGGTATCCCAAAAGAATAGGACTGTCAACTGAAATGGAGCATTGGAAGGGATTTTTTTTCCTAGTTCATAAAAGCATCTAATGGAAAAAATATGTCAAGAAGGTATAAAACCTTGTCCGGACTTCGGAAGGGCCCAATGGCAAGGCTGTATTTAATATGGGCAGGCTGGAAATCATCCTGCATCGTCTTGGTGTGCTGTTCTACCCAAAGAGAAGCAGCTAATAAATCCTTGGTTCAGCTTGTCACTGTATTGTCTGTACTTCTGGCCAACGTGGAGGTTAGGGGGATGGAAGTGACAGGAGTCGTGAAATGGTCATGAAAAGGTCAAAGTCATGAGTGGCTAAGCATTTCCCTGGACTTTGAGAAAGCAGCTTGTAGAATGTCCAAATGTACACATAATCTACCATCTGAGACTCAGAAGGAACATGGCTAAAGAGACCCGGGATTTTCTATAAGCAAAATGCTGGCAAGGTCATTAGAAATGGTCTCAAGCAGAAAGAAAATGGGGAGGCAGCCACAGGTACTTATGCAGGTATGCTGGTCCTCTCAGGACTTCCGATTTTAAAAGGATATGTGAAAAAGATGCAAGCTGGGACACATAGTGAGGAGCACCTTGAAACATGACAATCTTGAAAGACTACCAAGAATCAGCCTAGGCCCTGGCTGGTGTAGCTCAGTGGATTGAGAGAGGGCCTGCGAACCAGACAATCACGGTTCCATTCCCAGTCAGGGCACATGCCTGGGTTGCAGACCAGTTCCCTGCAGGCCAGTTCCCAGCAGGGTATGCACGAAAGGCAACCATACATTGATGTTTCTCTCCCTCTCTCCTTCCCTTCCCCTCTAAAGATAAATAAATAAAATATTTTTAAAAAAACATTAAAAAAAAATCAGCCTAGACAGTCTACTGGGACAAGACACTGGTTTGACACGTTAACAGTGACTTTCTGCCCAGAGAGTTCTTGTTACCTTCTGACCTTCCCCCATCAGCAAGCTAGACACAAGGCACCTGTTATCTCAGGGGAGGACTGTCACAGCACACAATCAGAAGAAAGTTTAGTCCAGCTCTGGGGCCTGCTGTGTTGCAGAGCTTTGCCAACATGAGAGACACCCTGAATCTCACAGGGGCCCATTCTGACCCATGGCTGTGGCAACTCTGATTCTTCAAAAATGCAATTAAATAATTTCAGAAATCAAGGTTGCCTTTTCTTCTTAAAGAAATCATTTTCTTACCATCCTCTTTTTTCTCACAACATTAACAGTAACAGATCTTACTCATTTTAAGGCATTTTGACTACAAATGAATCTTTTCATTGGAACACACATGTCGCCCAGGAGACCACTCCCGCCCCATTGCCAGCAACAGTGTTTCCACACCACACACACCAGGGCGCCACAGGCACAGTCCAGTGATCCCACGAGGCAGGGAGGTGTCTGCCCCCTTTACTAAGAAACCTCGGGCAGAAATGACAAGCTGTGGAGACATCACCACCTACTGTCAACTTACCTTAGGCAGTTTCAGTAGGCAGCTCCTTTGCCAGGCTTTTATGAAACTCAAGTGAGGTTAACCTGTAGAAAAAGAAATTTCTCATAGAAATATGGCAATCATTCTATGGTCTCTTCTATTCCACAAAATATGGATTTTTATCTTCTGGAAAGGGGTCTATAGATCTTAAGAGACCTACTTTACAACCATAGTCAACACCATAAATTGCTAATCCTCTTTGTTTCTCACAAGAAACAAAGTTATAATTATGTTAATTGCATATTGGGTCTTCTAGACTATTGGTCAGAGAAGTAAATATAATTAGCTTACGACATTGGTCCTTCCCGATATCATTATGCACGAAACATATTTTTCTGCATGGATTGAAGTTGTAATTGGTTTGGCTATGCACTGTAAAACAGAATGACTTTCAGGATGAATGGCAATGTGAAAAGAAGCCTCTAACGTCATCTCAAAGAAAACTGCCCTATAAAAAAGGTGTTTAAAAATGACTAGAATGAAGACATGAAAGCCTATTGAATTATAGTAACACAAGCAAAATAAAGCTTGAGGGAGTAAATAATAAACCAGATAGAAGAGTCAAAATATTAAAATATCCCAATTGATTGACAAAGTGGGCTGAAATAATTAACTGAGAAAAGAAATATAAATTCTCAAAATCGGAGCTGAAAAAAAAGTCAGTTTTTCAAATCTATATCATGAGGAAAACACCTAAAAAGCAGGTCTCAGGAAAAAACCTTGGGTGTTTATATTGACTAGAATAGCAACACAATGATATTAAAGGCGTCAAAGAAAGCACCTACCTGAATCAAGACCATAGGGTATAGTTTGTTAATCCTGTCTCTAAATTTAACAAAATTGTAGAGAAAATGTTATGCAGATTAAACATGAAAGTATGTCATGTCTAAAGATGTTACGTTATAAACAGCACCAAGAAATGAGGAAATATATTCTAGTTCTCAGGAACTATAATCTGATTCAGCAGTAAAATCAGTTTTTTCAAAAAGAGGGAAGTTCCCACATGGGTACTTACTATTTCACTTTCATCGTTCTTGCCTGTATTAGTCAGCCCAGGCTGCTGTGACAAAGTGCTGTACACTGGGAGGTTGAAACAGCGGCAATGTATTTCTCATGCTTGTGGACACTGAGAAGTCCAAGATCAACATGCCAGCAAACTAGGTTTTATTGTGAGTTCTCTTTTCTTGGTTTGTAGGCAGCTTCCATCTGTCTATGTGCTCATATGACCTTTTTTTTGTGCTTGTACACACACAGTGAGAGAGAGAGAGAGAGAGAGAGAGAGAGAGAGAGAGAGATCACCAAACCTATCAGATTAGGGCCCCACCCTTACAACTTCTTTGAAGTTTAATTACTTTCATACAGACCTTATCTCCAAATGTAGTCGTACTGGGAGTTAGGGCTTTATCTTAGTCTGTTCAGGATGTGGTAACAAAATACCATATACCACGTGGTTTAAGCAACAGCATTTATTTTCTCATAGTTCTAAAGGCTGTGATCAGAGTGGCAGCATGATTGGGTTCAAACGAGAGCCTGACTTCCTCACTGTGTCCTCAAATAGTAATGGGGGCTGGTGGAAAAAGAGAGAGAGAGGAGAGAAAAGGAGTTTCTTTTCTTATAAGAACACAAATCCTATCACACAGACCCCATGTTCATGACCTCATCTAAGCCTGGTTACCTCTCACGGGTCCCACTTTCTAACGTCATTCGCTTTGAGAGTTAGGACTTCAGCCTGTGCTTTTTGGAGAGATACAAACATTCAGTCCATAATAGGCTTCAACATATCAAACTGTGTGGGACAAACATTCAGCCCATAACACTGTCTTTTTTGTAGATGAAAGTATCAGCCAACATTCAAGTCAGAAGGACCACACTCATTCTTCAATAGCTACCACATTTCGCTACAGATCCAAGAGTCTGGCAAATCTCAACAAAAGAATTTTATGAGAATAAATGAACTATATCAAATTTATATGAAGAGGATTATATATTTTCTTACTAATATTAAGTTGTGCTACACATCCTTTATATTAGTGAAATTTAATATAAGCTGATGAATGTACATACATGAATTTGTTTTCTTCAAAGACCTAGCTGTTAAGTGTTTCCCAGCCCACCACTGGGCAAAGATAGCAGAAATGACAGAGAGGAGCTGGAGGGACAGCGTTTAAGCCCCCCATCCAACAGCATTTGTAAGGGCCAGACCCAGCCTGTGCTTTCCAGTTGCATGAACCAGTAAACTCCTTCCATTTTTGAGCACCTATAGCTAATTTCCATTGGATTTCTATCACTTTCCTCCAAGAGTCCTCCTAATATTACGTGTCATAGACATATTCGGGGAACTGAATATCGTTTTTTTAAGCCCTGAGAAAGACATTTCTGCAGGTCTGAAGACACAGCCTTCGCTTTCAGGATGGAAGCAGACTCTAAGCAGAAGGGAGTAGTGAGATCTATTCTGAAGCTCTGGGCTTTGTTGCCAGCTGACTGCCCCCCTGCCTCCGCCTTCATGTCCCCCTTTGACAGCAGGACCCACTTCCGAGCCCAGTGCCCATTTTTCACCCAGTTCCACAATAGGTCTCTTCTGGATGTTGAACCTGATCAGTGTGCCCGGTGCCATCACCTTCAGAACCGGCTCTGCCTTGTTCTTAGCAGAGGCTCCAGGGCCTGCTATGCGGCCGTGTGAAACCTGCCTCTTCCTGATGTCCCAAAGCAGTGCTCCTGGCCCTTTATAATGTGAATGGCTGTTCTCAGAAGTGACCCGTTGGACAGTGTTCTGCCTGCCACACTTGACCCAGGCCCAACCCAGACTCTGCTGCTCACTGGAGCCCTCCTCGCCGGGCCTCCCCAGACAGGGCTGTCCTCACAACGGGGGCTGTCCCCCCTCCTGCTGCAGCCAGGCAGCCAGGCCTTGACAAGCCCCTTGGGGACCTGTGGTGCTTCTCCATCTTCGTGGAGAAGAGGAAAACCGCACCCTGCAGTTTGGGCCACTGCTTTTCAACTCGGACCTTGGTAGTCCTCTTGAACATGAAAGAAAAGAATGGTTCTGTCTGTGACAACAAAGTGCTGAATATCCTCTAAATGTATCATTAAAAACCAAATTAATTCTTGGCAGTAGATTGACATGTACTTAGGTTAGTCTACAAAATAAAGCCTTAAAAAAAGAACCTGTCTTCAAATAAAGCCTCAAATAAAGCCTTAAAAGAAAGAACCTGTCCATTTGCCCATTTGTAACATTTCTTTTTCTTCACCCATCCTCTTGCCTCCACCTCCTCTCTTGAAATGTCAAAGCCACTAAAATCAAGGGTGGCAAGAGAAGCATTTTTCTAAAAATTCAGACAACAGCAACAAAAAGCTCAGCTCCCCAGTCCACAAAACAAGAACTGTATCTATCCTTTGTCTATCTTTTGTCTTCGTTAGCGTATTTCTTCGCACAGCGGCTGCAGACACAACCCAGCATCTTAATAATGGGTCTCATTAAATTGCATTTTACTTTTGCTTGAGAAAAAAATGATGTAAACGTTCACTTTATGTTCAAGCAATTATAGTGTGTCAACATCCAAAAGCCTGAACTGATGAGTTCAGAAGACTGAGAACAGGGTAATTTAACTTGTTCCATTTGAGAGAAAGTGAGAGAGGAAACAAAATGGGAATAGTGAATAGCCTTAGCCTCTGGAATTTTTTTCAGATGTTACGGGAAAAAAATCACTTTGAAAAACAGATGTCGGGTGACTAACGTCCTCCTCAATGTCAGGCTTGGCCTTGAAATGACTCATGGAATAGCCAGAAGATAGGACCAAACCTGGCACTTTTGCTCTGAGGTTGAGTGAGCAAGGTACTGAGTACAAGACATTTAACTCTCCAACTAAGAGGCACTGTTTCAGTGCTGGGCCTTGAGGAAGGGTTGGTATCCGGATTTGTTCTCAGGTAACCCATTCTCTCTCCACACCTGATATCTCGGCTGTTCCTGAAGAGAAGGAAAATAAAGGAGTTGATGTCCCTGATTGCCGAAGAACCATATCAGCTCCAGTTTTTACACCTAAATATGAGTATGTATATAGAAGAGAAGAAAGCTTCAAACTCTGATCCCTGCCACTCAGTGAAATTCTTGGATTTGCCTCAGTTCTGAAAGCCAAGAGGCCATATGAAGCGCCAGAGAACAATCGACTCACCTTTAAGACAGAGAACAGGAGGGCACCCATGAAGGACTGCCGGCATCTCCAGAAGCCACGCAGTCTGTGAGAGGAAAGACTAAAGAACAGAAACTATTCGTGGGAGGACAAGACATCTTGCCATTGTTTTCACGGTACCAGAAATTCAAGAGCCTGGGGCTTCATGCCTTATTTGCAAGAAAGAGATTCAGTTGGTTATGAGGGGTTTTATAGCCTGGCTGAATCAATGAATTACAGAAATATTAACAGGGTCAGGCCATGTATCAAAACATCAGTACCAAGAATCGCCATCCAGTGAACCCATTTTACCTGTCCCTTTACTCATATAAACATCTACATGTCAGGATATTTTTGCTTCTAAACTTACATGGAAATTGAGAATGAGTTCTTTAAAACTAGTTTATTAAGGTGGTGGCATATGTTAATCACTTCATTCTCCCTTTAAAGATGAGGATCTGGGAGGAAGCAACTGTGAGTAGAAACGAAAATACATTCAGGCCCTGGCTGGTGTAGATCAGTGGGTAGAGGGCGAGCTTGGAAACCAAAGGACCGCAGCTTGATTCCCAGTCAGGACACGTGTCTGGGTTTCAGGCCAGGTCCCCAGTTAGGGGCACGCGAGGGGCAACTGCACATTGATGTTTCTCTCCCTCTCTTCCTCCCCCCTTCCCCTCTCTCTAAAAAGTAATTAAATAAAATCTTTAAAAAATGCATGCATTCATTTACTTACCAAATTACTTGAGATTAATCATTTATTTAGTTAATTTTATTCCTACTCTTATTTTCAGTTAGGGAATTTTTAAAATTCAAATGCAATTGACATTCAATACTGTGTTGGTTCCAGACATGCAGCATGGCAGTTGGACATTTGCATGGCTTGTGGG